AAAGAGTTACTGGATGTTGAGCATTCAAGTTATCATTAATCTCTGAGCTGTGGTTTTGGTTTCATGTGATTAAACATTTAGAAGAAAAAAAAACACAAGATAAGGTATGAAATACCAAGCTCATGCAATATCCTGTAAGCAAGTTAATTCAGATAATATAAGTCGTACAGCCTGGAATAATATATAGTCCATTACTTAGAGCTTTGGACATCATATCACAAAGCTTTACTTTCCTGCAGCCATGGGCGGTTCTAGCAGGGGCCAACAGGGGCCACTGTGCCCCTGTAACACTGAGCTTGGTCCCCCCTGTGGCCACCCCTCCAAAATGAAGAGCCCCACTCATTACACATACACAGTATTTGACTCAACAACCGAACTCACAGTCTAGTATTAAATACTGTAACTGAAACAAATATAAATCATGGTATTTTATGTTGTTGTATTTAATGATGTGCGCTATTATTTGGCATAATATATATATTTTTAAAGCGATCATCTTTCTCTATTTTTCACCTGGGTTTAATGTTCCCCTCTGACAAAACAACTGGCCCCAGTTTGGCCCCCTCAGTAACCGCCACTGCCTGCAGCTAAGAGATATTGCAGAAATCAGACCTATTCTCTCATTTACAGATCTTGAGCTTTTAATTCAAACATTTATTTCCCCACTGTATGCATCCCTCAGCCAATCACCTCTTCATATGTTAGATGATTTAACACACAGCAGCTGGATTATTTACTATAACTAGTCTTTGATCCCACGTCTTTCTTTGTTCTTGCATCGCTCCGTTGGCTTCCTGCTGAAATTCAGAATCAATGATAAGATCCTGCTTGTTACTACAAAGCACTGCATGCCCCTGCCTAAAGTTACATTTCGCCTCATTCCATACTGTGATGGTCTACTCTCTGTATCATGTCTGTCCCCCTCTGTCATATTGCACTACAGGTGATCAAGCCTGTGCTGTATTAGCACCCTCTAGTGGTGCAACAGATAACGGCTGATCCTCTGTACAGGCAAGCCTTCATGTAACCCCCATTTCCTGTCTAGAGTGTACATTTGCTTTTTTATGCCTCAGTTTAATGTTGTGATTTATTTTTGTGTGTCATACATTTTTTTGGCATGTTTTTTGGTATGTCATCATGTCTTTGCTTGTGAAGCACTTTGTAACCAAATGTTTTGACATGTTTTTCATTTTACTTACTGTAACTCTGGTGATGTTTCTGGTCTCATTTTGAGGAAATAGAGAGAGAGGAACTTTAGCCCTGTTTCCACCAAGTGGTCTGGTTTGGTTCGGTTCAGTACGCATTTCCACTGTCAAAAGTGGAGACGGGTACTAAAAAAAACAATCCAATACTGTCCTACTTGTTTGGTACCCTTCTGTTGGGGTGCCAAGCGTACCGATCCGACCTTAAAGGAGGAGCTAGACACACTGCAGTCCGCTGATTGGTCGAAAGAATGCTCACTTTCTGAGCAACAGTTGTTAGAAAGGACAAACACATAAACGCACCATCTTTAAATATTCTGTGGATCCGGAGAGAGCCATTTCAAGGCTGTTTTTGTTTTTTTTCCAACGAATGTCCTCCGCCCCATGGACGACCTCTGGGATGCAGACCTTCTTCAGAATCATTGATCTTTGTCTACTGTGTAAGGTTCTTCTTTGTTGAATTTATTGGCTGTCTATATTGCACCGCTGTGATTTAGTGATGTGTAAGGGTACAATTGGCTGTGAAAACGCCAGCAAGATCAGGGTTCGCGTACCAAACTGTACTGAACCAAACCTTTTGAACTGGATCTCCTGCCTCATGGGTGGCAGAGGTGCTCAGCAGCAAGTCCCTTGTTCTCCTTCTGCAGTTGTCACTCCTCCTTTTCCAGCAGAGGGCCTGATTACCACACGTTAAGCCACTTCTCTTCCTATGTTCCAAGAGGAACTAACCCTGGCTGACAGACAAATGATTCTGTGTCTATGATTAGTTAAATCCTATACCCGATGCAGTGACGGTCAATGAAATTAACCATCCAGAGATTAGAAAAGTGTGAAGTCATCATGACATACAAGGGAAGCCCTGTGTTGCCTTTAATGAGCTGTCACAAGTACTCAGCTTTCACAAGCTTGACAGGACCTGTAAAACAGAAGCTCCGCCCCCAGAGCCTGCAAGGCCACTTACAGATATCTGTTCATGCAGGCCAACAGGGATTTCCCTCTCACTCACTGTAAGCTGTTTGATTTAAAGTGGAGAACCATTGCTGTCGGCAGAAGTGGTAATAATTAATTTCCTAATTTTTTAATTTGCAAGTCAGTAAGGCCTGTAAAGCCATGATTTTTACAGTAAAAGCTGCATGAACACAACTCACACCATGTAGCTTTTTATACTGATATTATGAAATAAAGTAAATTGTGTCCTAATGTATTATTGTCTCTTTGTATTTCTTGGTTCCAGTGATGACAACCCATGAGCAGATAACGTCATTTAACTTGTGGAGCATGTCACGCCTGGTTCATGTTTCTCTACAGGGCTGAGCACACATCTAGTGGTCAACTGGGATAACTATGACACAAACAGGATCATCAGGTTTATTTTTGTAATTACTGCTCGGATAATTTTAAATTGCAGAAGAAGTAAAATCACGACAAAGTTTGCCTTAGCATTAGCGTAAGAGTTAGCATTAACTAACCATTACCGGATCTAAAAAAATTCTCTAGAAGGTGTAAGGCAGTATTTGAATGTGATGTGTTAAAAACTATTGATTGTAAATTGTATTCTCGTCCTGCTTTCATTCTGTAAAAACCTAAATTGGATTTTATTTTGTGACAAGACTATGCAGATGATTTCATTCCAATGTTAGTCCCACCTGTGCATTTGGTTCACAGGCTACATGGTACTTCTGTCTTATTATAGTGGTCTATTACTGATCTAAACAGATTCTGTATCAATCTGCACGTCCTCTTCCCCAATGATACAGAGGAAGGTCTGCACGTCTGCGGCCTTCCATGGCACAAGGCAGAGTGTCCTGACATTTTTCTCAAAAAAATAAAAATTAGAACCTGGTCTCCACGAGATCCACAGGTCTATCTAAACATGGAGCATTTTGTGTTGTCCTTTATTACCCCTGTTGCACAGGAAGTGAATATTCTTTCAATCAATCAAAGGACTGCAGTGGCTCTAGCCCCACCTTTAAGGGTTGGATGGGTATGCTTGGCACCACAATTTAAGGGTAGCATAAAAAGTAGGATGTTTACGGATGTTATTTTTTGGGACCATTCCCAAATGTTGTCAGTGGAAATGTCAAAATATGTGTGCCACACTGAACCGAACTGTACAACTTGGTAGAAACAGGGCTAATGTTAGCATCATTGGTCAGCCTGACAGCAGCTTTTTTGATTTGAATTTTTTTATTACAAGCATAAGACAACATAAGTGAAAAAAAAAGACAGAAAATGAATAATAATTACAAACAGTGGAGAGTATGATGCAGAAAACATTGTCTGACATTAACCGAGAGGCTCCTATGAAACATAGCCATCAGTTTTAAACTAATCCCAGTCATACACATTTATATGCCGACAAAGAAGCAGCGGGAGCAAATTGGGTTAAGTGTCTTGCCCAAGGACACATTGGACATAAGCTGCAGGAGCTGGGGATCAAACCCTTCCGATTGAAAGTCAACTGACTCCACCACTGAGTCACCGCTCAATGTCATTCCTACACTACCTGTGCAATTTATTTGCAGGCTGATGGCCGGAGATGATTTAGGGCTTTATAAATGACGAGCAGGATTTAAAATCTATCCTTCGACTCACAGGAAGCCAGTGTAGAGATCTGAGGTGTTACACTTTCTGTGTGCTGGTGAGGACTCTGGCAGCAGCGCTCTCAATGAGCTGCAGCTCTCTGATGGATATTTTTTATCAGACCTGAAAACACCGTTACCATACCCGAGCCTGCTGAAAATGAAAGCACTTTCTCTGTGTCCTCAGACTTCCCTTGAGTCTTGTTATAATTTGAAGCTGGCATAACGTGCAAATTTTGTAACGCAGTTGTTAAAATACAGGTCGTGCTGCTGTCCTGTCCTCAACTTCCCTCTTTGTGTTTACACCCTCTGTCACAAGTTCTGCTTTTAAAAAGGGCTGAACTTTCTATTTCCTTGTGTTCAAGGTGTTCTTCTTTACTATTTCATAATAACATTACAGTATGAGTAATTTAATACTGGGAAATACGTGGTTAGTAACTTGAAAGGGAGTCCTAATAACACTCCTGGGGCCGTATTCAAAGCTTCCTAAGTACTACGAGTTGCTCCTATGACAAAATTCTAAGAACATTTTTGGAGTCAGGACATTTTCTAAGAATTTCCCCTTAAAGTAAAAACTAGAACCTGGTAAAGATGAAAGTTATTCACAAAGCTCTTTAGCCCTTAAGAGAGCTACTAAGGCAGTGATGCTCAACCTGCAGCTCTCGAGCCACATGTGGATCATTTGGGACTAGTTGTGGATCTTTTATACTTAAACAAAAAATAAAAATCCAAAGTAATTTTTAAAAAAAGGGAAACATTGTCAGCAGAAATTATTCTTTGCAAGTCATGTCACTGTGTTTACCCACACATATTTTAGGAAAGAAAGAGGTTTTTTGATTGTTCTTGCAGAAATAGTTTTTGGTCAATGTGGCTCTTAAGTCTGACAAGGCTGAGTACCACTGCCCCAAGGTGTAAAACTGTGAAGAGGAGCGAGGAGGACTTTTAACGGGCTAAAGAGTTTCTCAAGCTGAGGAGAAGATGTATATGTTCTCCAAACACTAAGAATTAAATTGAATCATAGTTTGGCAGAACTGACAAAAATGATTTGTGCAGACATTGTAAAGTGAGACATGCATGTTGAGTTTCTCTACATGTGGTTACCTCTACAGGTGCATCCAATCACTAATTAAGGCTCTTTAGTACATGTTGAATAACTATCAGCATGTGGAGAGGCTCCTGCACTTGTGGGCATGTGATTTTAACCGTCTTGTCGCTATATACTTACTAAAAGTTCTTAAACTGCTTAAAGTTTATATAACATATACATCTGAATACGGCCCCTGATGTAAAAGTCCTTGCTAGCATTTTCTAAGCTGAGTTAGGAGGTCTCTGAGAGGATTCTCAGAATGTTTGTGACTACGGATACAGCACTGCTTTGTGCTGGCTTGACATAACAAACAGGAAGCAGAAACAACTGTCAGGTTTTGAAATTAAATGTTTTTAACTGAAGTGTAAGAATTGTACTTTAGATCATATAAGGAGCTGTTGCATCTTGTCTGAAAGCCTGGATGCTGGTTTTCCTGCGATAACGAGTTCATTTCTGTAGATCTCGAGAGGAAAGCTGAAATTATCTCATTATCACGGGAAAACCAGCATTGTCAGAACAAGACACTAAAAAGTCAAAGTTCTGAATGAATGTCCTCTTAGGGCTTCTGTACATTTCAAACTATTGTCTTGCTTTTTTTTACTTCCATCTTTATGTTGCTGGTATAGAGTAATTTAGTTAAAAAAAAGTAAGTAAAACATGATTTATATCTAACACTTGGAGCTGAGGCACTTCACACCACAAGCTTGTACTTTAACACTTTAACAGGTTGCTGCTGCTGTGACACATCGGGCAGCCAGCCGAAGAGCTCACGGGAGAAGGTGTAGAAAACCGCAAAATAACAGAGGAAAGACTTTTTTTTTTTAAAACTAACACGCAGCAAAAAGTCACAATGTACATGAATCTATAAATGTGCTTGGTTTGTCACTTCTATTCATACGAAGCTATCACAGTGATTACATTTAATGTTGAGCTAATGTGCTGTACGTAACATGCTCATCTGGTGCCGGATCCTGCTGGAGAACAAAACAAGGGAATCAATTGGAAGAACAGTAATACATATGTTGGTCACACTGGATTAAAAAAAAAGGAGATAGCTGTTGTGATAAGTTATGTATACTAGAGTAACCAGCAGTGATATCAGACATACATTTGTTATAGCAGAGTGTTGTTCTGCTTTGGGAGCGAGCAGCACAGACACCTTATTCAATCATTTAGTTACCTTCTCCATATTTGGTCTCCTGTGTGAAATAACACTGTATGTTAGTTCCGCTTCAGCCTGTGAGGAAGCAGCAAAAACAAACACAAGAAAAGTTAAAAAAAAGAAAAGTGAAATTAAGGTCCTGCAGGTTTTCTTAAAGGTGCACTTTGTAGATTTGGAAATTTAGAGAAGTGAAACAAGTCTATGGTAATATTCATAAATTGCTAATCTGTATGCATGTATGATTGGATCTCAAATTTCAATAACAGTAGGGGCATTGTGTAAAATGTAGGGATGTAAAGATTAATTGTAAAATCATGATAAATGGATTCAAAGGTGTCAAGATTCACACTGATACTCTGAAAACTCATCGCAATAATATCGTGAGCAACCAGCAGCTGTCAAGGCCCTGACACACCAAACAGACTGCAAAAAAACTAGTGGCGACGAAGGCCGCCTGTAGTGTCAACTCAAAAAAAGTGTTATCTCGAGACACATTACAAAAAGCAGGTAAAGACCTTGCTTAATGCTATATCACAAAGACCCGGCTTAATCCTCATGAGCACTATAGCAAAGCAGCTAAAGTTACATTGGTAAGAAAGTCTTGGCCAAAAAGTTTCACTAGAACACACCGCAAAGACTGCAGCTGACGGCCAACCACCACGTACGTTCTGCGCATGTGTGAGAGGCAATAAGCCAGCAGGTAGCGGTAGTCCGTAATCGTCAGTCCAAAAAGGGGAAACCGGGAGAGGACGAGGAAGAACGCAGATAAATAAACCGTTGTTGTGATATGAGAAGACAACTTTCTAACCGCTGTCGCTCAACACTATATTACACACGTCGTAATATAAGTTATTCTATAAGAAGAATAATGGAGAATAATGTCTGATAAAAAGCTGAAAATGGCACTGGTTAGCCAAAAAAAGGCTAATGGGTCAACAGGTAGCGACGGAGCTGGACACGTGCAAAACTAGGGCGATGACCGCTCACAACGGACGCGACGGCCGACAGTCTCCTTGGTGTGTCAGGCTTTAAGAGAAGGCGGTTGGCAGCTGTAGAGCAAGATTTTTGAAATTGAGGATGCACCAACGTCTTTTAAATCGGAGGTGTGGAAGCATTGTGGCTTCCCAAGACAGAAAATGAAAGAGGACAGAAGATAACAGACGAGACCAAAACTGTGTGCAAATATTACAAGAAGGCAGGGAACTACACAAATAACACAACCAGCATGATGCAGCATTTAATCGACACCAAAGATGAAGCTTCAATCACTTCCTTGTTGAGAAAAAATATATATTAAGAGGCCCAAATCAACTGAGAAGAGGGTCTGCAGCCCCTAAAGGAATCTGTTTCTGTCATCATTTGTCTACAGTCTCATTTTGTAAAATAAATCATGAGAGAATCATATGGAAAACAGGGTTGTAAACAGGGGCACATATTTAGGACCTCTGCATATTTCTTCACAGAAAATAAATCGAACGATGTTAGTAACATTAATTAAAAAAATGAATAGGAGCATCTGCAGCCCTAACAGAAATATCAAATTTGATGACAGTTTTGTCTCCACATCGAGGATCATTTAAGCATTCTTTTGAAACAAAATAAAGTATTTCCTACCTTTGCTGCAGCTGATGATTGTGCTTTTTTCAGCTCTAGAATGGTTAAGAAAACATCTGTTAATGCCTCTTGATGCTGTACTGGAATACAATCTTCAACAAATTATTATTAATTTAAGTTATGAATATTCTTACTGTGTTGTCTCAAAACACACCAGAAGATCAAGGCCACTAACACAATGACGATGAGTACACTCGCAGGAATGATGAAACGCAGTAGGTAATCAGGACCCCTGCAGCAACAGTAAACACAGATGGATGCAGATAAACATATCTTAAGGTAATGAATTCAGACAGCTGAAATAATTAAACATATACATGTTGTCCCTTAAGTGGTAGGGTGTCTGTCCATAGATGAACCATGACTTAGGACACTGACCTTTCTGATTGCTTCTCAGATGTGGTATTTGCAAAGGCTGACGTGTGATTCACAGGTTGGAGAGAAATGTTCGTTAACTGTGTTGTTATTTCTGTGGTTGTTATTGTGGCTGTGAGAAACAACAAAATGTCAGCAGAATCATATCACATTAATGAGTAGTCTCATTTCTATATTCAATTGTCTCCCAATTGCTTATTCCATGTAATCATATTCCAAACAATGGCACCAGTAAAACCTTTATTCCAGGATACATTAATAATGGGAAACATTAAAGGGGACATATTATGAAAAATCCACTTTGACAGTGTTTTTGAACAAATATTTGGGTAACCTGAGTGACTACTGACCCACAAAATGTGAAATAAATCCATCCAGTCCTTTGTTTGTGGTCTGCATAAGTCTTACAACACAGAGAACAATGCTCCGTTTCAAATTTGCTCTCCTTGTGATGTCACAAGCTGGATACTGATAAAATAAAAAAACAACCTTCCCCTCCCCTGATATCTCCACCCATGGACTCTCCCATTACATGCATACGCCGCCCACGAATCACGAAGCAAACGGGCGATTCAGGATTAAGTGTCTTGCCTAAGGACACATCAGACATGACAGAAATGACTTACAAGTGTGCAGCATGTTATCAGTCTGTGGAACCTTTCGAGTAGCTTTGCAGAATTTGCAGCTCAAAAAAATCCTAAAAATCCTTTGTTATCTTATACTGGCCACACAAAAACCACTCATTTTAGCCTCTGGCTGAAAGTGTTCATTTCAGCTGTGTCTCCTATCATGCCCACTTTTTACTGATTGGCCAGCTCTGGAAGCCTTCAGAGGCAGAAGGCTGCAGGGCTGCCATGGAGGTCGGGCTGCTCTCTGGTGTTGGAGAAGAGACCCTATGTTAATAGGTTTCAGCAGCTTATACGTAGAGGGATTGGAAGCTGTCTTGTGAATTTCTCGGTTTCATATTTTAGGAACTATCGTGTGATTAGCAGGACAAGCCATTTAGCGCATTCTGCAGGCTTATCCTGGGATTACTCCAACATAGGTTTAGCTCATGATCCGAAGTTTGCCCATGTTTAGTATAAGTATCCAGCATTGTAACACTATATGTGAGTTTTAAAATGGAGGTCAACATAATAGGTCAACCTTAAATCTCCAAGGTGCTTGAGCCTTCACATTACTTTCTGTCATCAAGCTATGCCCTATCTAAACAATAAATTCACTTCCTTGTTTCCTGGAGCGCCCCTACAGGCCTGGAGCACTTCTGTTCAGCATTTGCTATTTGCAGCTGTTTTTTTTTTTTTTAATGAATGTTTTTGTTTGGCTTTTTTCAGCTGAGGCAGAATATGTGTCAAAAAAGTGTATATTTAACAATTATTCATCAGTGTACGAGTGTACTGAATGATGGGCTGTGTGTGACGTTTAACGGCAAGGTTTGATGGCTTTCAGTGTATCGATTGGTTTCAACCTGACAGGTTAAAGTTCTTGAAAAGAGTGCTTGGTGAAGCATGGAGGATCATTTCCAGAAACTTGTCTTGGCAATCAAAAAAACGTCAAATTCAAACCTTTACTTACGGCTGCGAATGTAATAACTGAACATTTTATAATACTGTACTTGTATTTTCAAACTATTTGTTAGTAGTATGATACTTACTGGTGATCGGTCTCTCTTTAACAGTAACACGCACAGGCATCCGTACGTCTCCTTTGGCGCAGTAATACCAGCCGCTGCTCTCTGCCCTCAGTCTCTTCAGAGTCACATTGAAAACGTCAGGGTTTTTTAGATCAATGGTCACTCTTGTACCATCTATTGATCCATGTGGCTCCTTTATACAGGACCCTCCCAGTCTGCACCACCGAATTTCTCCTCTGTTAGAATAGGTAAAGCGGATAGCAACATCTCCTCCAATAAATCCTGTAACCTCCTGATAATCCACGGAGAGCAGGGGCCGACCTCGAGGGAGAGGGAATAGAATTTACTACAACATTATGGTTAACCATCAGTACTTTCTGCTGTTTGATACCTCTTGTAGATAAATGACTCCAACATTCACACTTACTCATGAACATGTTTTAAAAGAAAACTGTGACCCACTATAGTCTATAAACCTTATGGGGTGCTGGTTTGATTACAATTACTCGTCAATTTTAAGACAAGTAACCAGCGAGGTGGGACAGACGAAAATGAAGCCACGATAAGCCTGTGAGCCTGAGCTCAGGGTTGACAAACCCTCGGCACTGACATTTGTGGATCATGAACAGGGGTAGTGTTAAAAAAGTCACATGAAAGCAGACAGCTGATTGAGAGCCCAGCCTTGTACTGATGACTTTAGAGCAAAAAAACTTCACATTCAGCCGTTTATAGTTATGTACTTACTCTATATATTTGCAGATCTGTGTACTGTACACATTTGTAGGTGTGTGTGCAGACCTGCGTACGACATTTTAGTTTTGCTACGATTAAAGCTCCATTAAACAAAACATTATTTAAAAAAATAATAACGATTAAAGATTTTTCAAAGAGGAATTCCAGTATTTTTTAACCTTTGCCCTTTATTCAGTTGGTGTCTTTGGTTACAGTGATCCAATTAGGAGTCTGTATTCTGTGGGAGCTATGTATAAATATCTGCATCATGGATGTGTGTAACAATAATCTCACAGTGATTTCACACATCTAACTCTCTGTGTTTTACTGCACCTTAAATGCAGGGTTGGTAATTATCGAAAACTAGCATGGTTTTGAAAGTAGCATTCCCTCAGTGTTCAATAACCGAACCTTCTAATGAAGTCTTGAAGCTTTGAAACAAGTGATCAGTTTCTGACGTGAGTCTATTTCTGTACTGAACCTAAATTAATGTTGTCAGTTATAATACTCTCCTTCAGGAACAAACATTAACACTTAAATGGATGTATGTACATTGAATAAGACAATATTTTCCTAAAAGGGGATATTGCAGCCATTACATCATCTCTCCCTGCTGTAGCAATCTTCTTTAATTCCAAAACATGAATTAGTACTTTTTAAAGTTTTAAAGACCACAAAATATATAAAAACATGGCCCAGGTTTCTTTCCACTTGGTCTTACCTGCAGTGACTGAAAGCTGAAACCTTTTCCCATCATCTGCCCCATTGTTTATCTCCACAATACACCAGTAATGAGAATCAGAAAGAGTCACGCGATCTATAGTCACAGTGAAGATTCTTTGCTGTTTGTCATCAGAGATTGAAAAACGTCCTGAACGTCTTGGTTCATTGGTTTTAACTGTGTAGGAGCAGGAACTCCATCGATATCCTTGACACAAGTACTTCGCATGGTTTCTGTATTTAGACTCATAGAAACATGGGACAGAGATGGAGCCTCCAGTCCTCACTGGCACTTTACTGACAGTCGTAACGCTGTGAATTCCTGCAACAAGACCCAAGAAAAAATTCAACCAGTGACATTTAGAGAGATTCAATTATAATCACACCATCCTCTGACCTCCTGGCATAAATATAAGGAAACACAAATGTTAGAACTTTGACTGACCTGTGAGTCCAGCGAAGATGAGAAGAGCGCTGAGATGAGCGGCCATGTCGGTGAGTGAGAAGAGGAAGACTAAAAAGTGTCCTGTCTTTCTGTTAGAATGACTTCTACTTCCTCATGTTACCTTATAAGTCCACAGTTTGACACCCCATACAATGTATTTACAGAAGGTGTTAAAACCTATACTCTCACTTGCACACTACACATTACAGATTGCTGCAGTTCTACCCAGAATCCCTTGTTTCAGAAGAAACCTTTTTTATGTCAGGATTCTTTATTAGTCCAGGGGTAATATTAAAGCCACCTAGGAGGGATTTTTAACTGCTCTTGAAACAGACTGAAAAGAATAGTGATGCCTCTTTATGACCTACAAAAACAAATGAGACCATCAACGACAAGATCGACTATTTCTTTTTCAGTATTTTCAGTGCGTGTAACTGCTGCCCATGGTAGTTGTCAGACGAAATGAGTTACAGCATTTTTTTCCACACAAAAAATATTCACCGTGAGTGATACATTTTACTGTTAAAAAAGGAGCAGATGTTTTTGTAGTAAACATTACCTATGCATTTACAACACAAGATTAGCAAAGAGATGAAAGGTCAGCTTTAACCACAGGGGGCGCCAAAATCGACGAGAAAGAAAAAAAGGAGCTTTAAGTAAGTCACATGATCTTCAGATACATTAGATTTGTATTTTTATACAATTTTTTTGTACTGAGAAAAGTCTTTAAGATTTATTTTAGGTATGATATCATGTGTATTGTGTTTATTAAACAGCTGCCTACAGCATTAAAAACCTTATTTTAGGGAACACTTTACACCTAATGGGAGCTAGGTTTAAGATTTCAATTATGCCTCGGTTGCAACTGGTGCAGCATCACCTAGTAGAGGGTAAACTCCGTCTCAGGTTTCTTTCCAAAAATTGGAAAACCAGGCAAAGTCTGAACTTACTGTACACAAAACACCTTCCAACCTGTACAGATATGTAGAATTATTCTATTGTTCAAGAGATTGTGTGCTTTTTGGTAATTGCATGTTTTGCCCAACAATACTTTGACTAACTTGATCATAAAGCAGATGGATGAAAATCCTACTAACGCTGTTGTTCTCTTATGTTTCCCTATTGTACCTTTATGTGGATGTTGCTTGAAGAGATTGACTTTAAATTGCAACATTTCACTTGTTACACAAGACTGTGAAAGTTTCTGAAAGATGTTGCACAGCAGTTCTGAGAACTGAGGCAAGAAGGCATGGAACCACAAAATTAAATATGAAGGACAACATCACAGTGTGATACTGTCTTTCCATTTAAATGACTCCATGTTCTTAAGAAGATACTCAGTTTAAGGATTAATTTCATCAGCAGGAGGACAGGTTTATACTGACACATTTTGAGCTTAGAAAATGTGTCTCATTACTTCCTCTTTTTTTTTTCCAACTCTTTTTATTTAAATTTTTCAATAAAGTGACAAACATTTGTAAATGACAATGATACAGTCTGAAGCACCCATTCCCCTCCCTCCTCCCACCCACCCACCCAGCTCAGATCAGAACCAACCAGGGACATATGACACACACATACACTCACTCAGACAGCACATTAGACACAACAGCAGACAGACAGTCCTAGAAATAAAGGTAAAAGAAGAGTGATATGGGTAAGTAAAAAAAAGACATGGGTGAAGTGATCATTAATAAGAGAATACCAGTATACACAAACATACCGGAAAAAAAGCCAAGAACAAATAAATGATGATGTTATTTTGTATATGGCAAGCCGTTTATATGGCAAGCCATTTAGGAAATTAATATATTTGAACAAAGTCTAAATATATTGAATGAAACTTTGAATATATTGAATGAAGTCTGAATATATTGAATGAAACTTTGAATATATTGATTGAAACTTTGAATATATTGAATGAAACTTTGAATATATTGATTGAAACTTTGAATATATTGAATGAAACTTTGAATATATTGAATGAAACTTTGAATATATTGAATGAAACTTTGAATATATTGAATGGAAGTCCGTAGCGTTATATCAGATGGCATTTCAGTAAGAGACTAACAAATCCCCTAAAGTGTGCTCAGCAATGTTTTGTAGAACATTACTACTCATAAGCAGTAAAAGTGTTCCAATAATTGATTATCTTAAAGGTGACGCATTCTACATTCAAAATTATTCATATAATTTTGAGTACGAAGAGCTGTTTCAAAAAAGTTTTCACAGTCAACAAACTATTAGTATATTTCAGCTGATGTCATTTTGCAAAACCAGCATATTCAGCAGGGTGTCTTTTTGATGACAACAATGAAACTGGTGGATTTGGAGAATTGAAATCAGCTTCAATTCCATATATTCAGATTTTGTTCAATATATTCAGATTTTGTTCAATATATTCAGACTTTGTTCAATATATTCAGACTTTGTTCAATATATTCAAAGTTTCATTCAATATATTCAAAGTTTTGTTCAATATATTAATTTCCTAAATGGCTTGCCATATATATGTATATATATACATATACATATATCACCATTACACATAAGGCCACAACTGCATAAGTCAGTGCCCCAGTTGGGCCACCTCAGTCAAAAAAGTCTGGACACGCCCCTGCTTGTGTCGGGTTGAAGCAGACTCTAAAGGTCATGGAAAGTTCAGACTCTCACGTTAGTGTTTATTAAGTTTCCTCTTGCTGTTCCTCATTTTACTCGATAAACATACAGCTCTGAAGAAGTTGTGTTTTTCTACAGAGCTGCCAATGACGCCATTTTACCTCATGAGCATCAAATAATATATCAAAACTAAAAGTCAAACAAAAACTTGGGCATCAATCTGCATGATAAAAAACTAAGACTGAATCCGTGTTTGAGAAAAATTGGAAGTTTATTTTGATTGGGAAAAACATGTAAATACAAGGGATACTTTGTCATTGAAGGGAAATATAAAAGTACTGAAATAAAGTTTCAAAAAAGACAATAGTAATGAGCGCAAGAATAAGATCGCAGATACAACAAGCGGTTGAAATGAGTTTCCTCATTAGACCCAGAGTGCGCAGGAGCGATTATATATCCCGTCTGGCCTGGGAACGCCTTGGAATCCCCAAAGAGGTGCCTGAAAACGTTGCTAGGGAGAGGGAAGCCTGGATTGACTTACTGCGCTTACTGCCACCACCAAGAGAATAACATTACCATGAAGAGAATAACATAAGAGAAGTATAGGAACAGCTTCAGGCTGGCTGGGTCTCTTCAATCGGCCATTTTCTTCAGTTCGTTCTGTTAACCAGTTACTTCCCGTCTGCATTACACTCAGCATTTCAATCAGGAGAGACAATTGAATAAAGACAAATATTAATTACAATGAAATATGGAAATGTTTCTTGACAGAAATATTTTTGGCACTTGTACTCTATGGGGTGGGCGATGTGTAGAATGACAATTCTTAGCAACGGCAGAATAGATCCCCCCCATGGAGTCCAGACACTGGTGGTGGTGAAGCTGATGACTTGATGAGACCAGATGGGATGAGAAATGATGGATGATGATTCTGCGAGATGGTGGAGTTGGAGAGGTGGAGGGGCGCACGAAACATGAGCTTGAGAGACAGATAAACACACAGGGAAAAAAAACACGGATTTCATTCCTTTCATACATGTTTTTAATTCTGTGTGGTTCTTCAATTTTGGAATAAGACATGTTGGAGAGTTTCTGTATTTGTTTTCTTTCCTTTTTTCCATATATGCTGAGCAAGTATTATGAGAGAGTCTTTTAGAGTTACCTGGTCTTAGGTTTCTGCTGTTGTCCTCACATAACTGAATGTTACGTTGTCTTCTGGCTGTTAAAGAAGAAAAAAGTTATTTACAAGAACTCACAAAAAGTCTTCAAAAGAGTAAATATTGTATTTATTACCACATTGTTTCAAATAGAAAAAGTGAACGTTTTACTGGGATCGTTGGTGGGGACTGTCTGCTGCTATTGACCGCCCCCACCCGTTTGCAAATGCACCTTCAGTCTTCACTGTTTTGCAATGGAACAGTATCTGCAGTTACACAGTGTGGATAAGGGACCTGCACAGGTAGATAAATTGACATAGCATACCGATATTGCAGCTGATGGTTGGGTTGTGGTGCGGTCTATAAGGGAAACAAAAAAAATCACATGAAACTGACTGTAGTGCAATGAAAATGATTTTCTTTCACATCTGAAAGGTGAGTGTGATCTATTCAGTTTATTCAGTCAGCAAACACTTACTTCGTCTTTTGAAAATAAACCATACCAACAAGCCGACCAGTACAATGAGGACTAACACGCTCAGACGTATGGAGAAATTCCTCAGGTGAATGAAAACACTGTGGAAAATTATAAAGACAATACATTTTTTTGTTTTAAATTTGGCCTCCTTTAACTATCTTGTGTTCAAGAAATGGTTGCACCAGTTTAAAAGAGTTTAAATTGAATAATGAATAATATTAGCAGCTAGATCAAATGTGCATTGAACAACATGGATCTGGATTCAATAACAAATGTCTGAGTGATTAATTACTCCTAAATAAACCATTGTGTGCATAAGCTCAGGAGCCTGACCTGTTTGATTCAGTCTGAATCGTGGTGTGTTCCTCATATCCAATGGAAGACGTATGACTCACAGGTTGAAGAGTGGTTGTCAATGTGTTCACATGATTTGTTGTTGTCAGTGTGTCTGTGAAGAAAAACACAGGCTTTAAAATATATCACAAAAATCAATATGAGTGAATTCTAATTTATCATGCTTGGTGAAGCACAGAGGATCATTTCCAGAAACTTGTCCTGGCAATCCAAAAACTTCAAATTCAAACCTTTACTTACGGCTACAAAATGTAATAACTGAACATTTTATAATACTGTACTTGTATTTTCAAACTATTTGTTAGTAGTACCAGTAGTACTGGTGATCGGTCTCTCTTTAACAGTAACATGCACAGGCATCTGTACGTCTCCTTTGGCGCAGTAATACCAGCCGCTGCTCTCTGCCCTCAGTCCCCTCAGAGTCACAGTGAAAACGTCAGGGTTACGTTTATCTATTGATCCGTGTGGCTCCTTTATACAGGACCCTCCCAGTCTGCACCACTGAATTTCTCCTCTGTTAGAATAGGTAAAGCGGATAGCAACATCTCCTCCAATAAATCCTGTAACCTCCTGATGATCCACGGAGAGCAAGGGCGGACCTTGAGGGAGAGGGAACAGAATTTACTACAACATTATGGTTAACCATCAGTACTTTCTGCTGTTTGATACCTCTTGTAGATAAACGACTCCAACATTCACACTTACTCATGAAAATGTTTTTGAAGAAAACTGTGACCCACTATAGTCTATAAACCTTATGGGGTGCTGGTTTGATTGAAATGACTTCTTTGAGGCTCGACAGACGAAATGAAGCTACTATAAGCCTGTGAGCCTGAGCTCAGGGTTGACAAACCCTCCACCACAGACATTTGTGAATTAAAACACACATTTGTGGATCATGCATGGCAGTAATGTTGCAAAGTCACATGGAAACAGACAGCTGATTGAGAGGCCAGCCTTTTATTGATGACTTGTGTGCATTTTCAGCTCTTGGAGCATAAACACTTCACATTCAGATGTTTACTGTATAATTATGTACACATCCAGAAATTAATCTAAATATTTGCAGATCTGTGTATTTAAAGAAGAATTCCAGTATTTTTTAACCTTTGCCTTTTATTCATTAATTATTTTTTCCCGCGTTAGTGTCTTAATGACTGATGGTTACAGAAAGAGTAGAACATGTTCCAGTTGAGATTGATCAACGCACTCACAGACTAAAAAAGATTTTCTCCGTGTATGCAACATAAAAAGGATCACCACAGAGATAGGTTTTATTTGAAAGAGGAAATTGATCATGTTAAAGCCACCAGACTCCACCGATAGAAAAAGTTATTTTATCATTTAGAATAGAGTTTGTGGTCCACTTGACCAGTTATTGTATCCAGGGGACAAATTAACACAACAATGTCACCCTGGGCAGCAACTTTTAAGTACCCCTCCAAAATGCAGCTGCCCACCAAACCCACCAACACTATAGGCCCACTACCACAGAATCAGCGAAGGGGTATGATGGCTTGCAGTGGCACTGTGTGAAAAGCTGTTTTGGCACCAGCGGAGTGGCTAAAGTAGGACGAGATTTAACCAGATTTTTTACTTACTTACTGCCCTGGGGCCTTTACACATCTCAGGCCCCTGGTCCCGGTTGGCCTAATGGTACATATGGCCTTGACTGTATCTACATGTTTTGTGACTTTGGTCCAATCAAGAAAGTATTAGATCAGCAACATTTGTTTTGGTGTTCATTAATTGAACCTTCGAATTAAGTCTTGAAGCTTTGAAACAAGTGAACGAGCTAACATCAGTTTCTGACCGCGAGTCTATTTCTGTACTGAACCTAAATTAATGTGCTCAGTTATAATACTCTCCTTTAGGAACATTAGCACTTAAGTGGATGTATGTACATTGAATGAGAAAATATTTTCCTAAAAGGGGATATTCCAAAACATAAATTGGTACTTCAGTTTTAAAGACCACAAAATATATAAAAACATGGCCCAGGTTTCTTTCCACTTGGTCTTACCTGCAGTGACTGAAAGCTGAAACCTTTTCCCATCATCTGCCCCATTGTTTATCTCCACAATACACCAGTAATAAGAATCAGAAAGAGTCACTTGATCTATAGTCACAGTGAAGATTCTTTGCTGTTTGTCATCAGAGATTGAAAAACGTCCTGAACGTCTTGGTTCATTGGTTTTAACTGTGTAGGAGCAGGAACTCCATCGATATCCTTGACACAAGGACTTCACATGGTTTCTGTATTTAGACTCATAGAAACATGGGACAGAGATGGAGCCTCCAGTCTTCACTGGCACTTTACTGACAGTCGTAACGCTGTGAATTCCTGCAACAAGACCCAAGAAAAAATTCAACCAGTGACATTTAGAGAGATTCAATTATAATCACACCATCCTCTGACCTCCTGGCATAAATATAAGGAAACACAAATGTTAGAACTTTGACTGACCTGTGAGTCCAGCGAAGATGAGAAGAGCGCTGAGATGGGCGGCCATGTCGGTGAGTGAGAAGAGGAAGACTAAAAAGTGTCCTGTCTTTCTGTTAGAATGACTTCTACTTCCTCATGTTACCTTATCAGTCCACAGTTTGACACCCCATACAATGTATTTACAGAAGGTGTTAAAACCTATACTCACTTGCACACTAAACATTACAGATTGCTGCAGTTCTACCCAGAATCGTTTGCTTCAAAAGAAACCTTTTTTATGTCAGGATTCTTTATTAGTCCAGGGGTAATATTAAAGCCACCTGGGAGGGATTTTTAACTGCTCTTGAAACAGACTGAAAAGAATAGTGATGCCTCTTTATGACCTACAAAAGAAAATGAGACACTATTTGAACTGCACATGGCGCTGCACGAGTTACAACTGGCAGTAGTGGTCTGTCTTTATTCGTCTGTTTTCTAATGTCGTCAGTGTATAATCGACCAGAAACAATCTGATTTATATCTCACTGCTCGTCGCACACTTCTGGGTATGGAGCGTTTATTCTTTATCATCACATGGACTTTGTTAGCTGTGGCTCAGTGCCACTCGCATACGGGCCGGATTCCTCTTTTTTTTCCCAACTCTTTTAATTTACATTTTTCAATAAAGTCACAAACATTTGTAAATGACAATGATACAGTCTGAAGTACCCATTATAAATGGGTATATGTAAATTATAAATTCACACAACACAAACTCTGAGATGTTACAACACTTGTATCAACATTATAAACACTATAACAACGACAGAAGTTACAAGAATAAGAATAATCAATATCATTCGCAATGGATTGTGGGATGGGTAGTTCCTTGAATCCGAACAAAAACGATATACATACAGTAGTCTTTTTTTTTTTTTTTTTTTTACGATTTATTTTTGGGCTTTTTGTGCCTTTAATGGAGATATAGGACAGTGGAGAGTAGTAGAGTAGAGCTGGAAATCAGGGAGCGAGAGAGTAGGGAATGACATGAGGGAAAGACTGTAGCCTCCATACAAGGGGCGCGCGCACTAACCACTGCGCCACCAGCGCCACCATAGTCTTGTACCTTTGACGCCAATTCAATTGTATTATAGTCAGGAACATTGGGGTAGCTGGTTGTTTGGTTCTAGGCTTCAATCACTTGGTTAGGTAAGGATTTTATGAATTTTTGATGGAGGATTTGAATGGGGACATTTACTTCTGGAGCCAGAGCCACTGAAAAAGGGGGCAATCACTATTAGGCTCTTGTCAGATACTTTTTTTTTAGTGACCTGGAGCTTTACTGTGCTGGTTGGTTGGAGATGTTTGTGAAGCATTGCTGTTTTATACTAAGCAGCTCCATCCCTGTCTGAAGCAACAACTTTGTGTTCAGTAAGAATCAGTGTTATGGACCAAGCATGTAAAGGCATCGCGATCTCACCCCCAACATGACTGTGATGTTGCTCGGATGATCTCCCTTTCTGTGCTATTGGCTGATGCAAATCAATATCTGAAACAAGTACCTTCTTTGTTTTTTGTTTTTTTGTTTTTTATAGCCAAACACTTAAACAGAACCAAAGAACGCCCTGCTGGATGTTTGAAGGGAACTTTAAGGGAATGGCTTAACCAGAGAACCCTCTGTAAGTCTATTTTATGGTGTTCATTATTGTTTGTCTGAGGGCCTAGTTTTCTTACTGAACATGCTTTAATTACTCTTGTTTGTGTCTGTGTATCTGTTAAGCATTCAATAAGCTGTCACGCTTTCTAGTTGCAGACTGTTTGGAAGTCGACCTCACTGACTGTCAAACATTTTTACTCTTTATCTCATAGAATGACAAGCCCATCTTCTCAAAGGAAAATCATTTATTATCACTTTATTGATGTGATGTGCTTATACTCAGATCGTTCACACACAAAAATAACTGGATTAACACGACATAGGAATCGCCAGAATCTTATTTTGCTACTTTCCCCTATATTTCTGGATACTCTGTGCCAAATTTCATATTTATATGTCTATTGATGCACTTTCTACAAGTTAATTTGTGACTTTACATTATCTTGACTTAAGCATTTTTCTAAAAGGTTTTTTTTGGCCCCCCAGGACCAAACGGCCCCGAGTTGGGAGTGGTCCTTATCATCTTGTGATGGCCCAAGGTATGAGCCAAATAAAAATCATAGTGAAAAAAAGGTAGCAAAACATCCTGAGGGAGAGACCTGGCTCCCGGACTATATGTCCCCAGTTTCTGGTTCCACCACATTCTCTGCTTGTTTGTGGCCAGGAAACCATGCTGACTGAAGACGAGCAAATCATTTTGGATTTGGAACTCATGAGAGCGTTCTAGCGTTTTCCTTCTGCAGAATTTAGATGTGGCAGTGATACCAAAAATGTTATACATACTGGAAATAAGATGCTATTCAGAAAACCAATCACAGGGATTGAGGTCTGCTTTGTTTGGATGTGTAGCTACAATCTTTTAGGGGTGCACGTCAGGCTTTGTACATAAGCTTCTGCATGGGTACAGGGCGAAGCGATCCTATGGCTTATGATACGGTGTAGATTGGACGAAGAAGTATCAATCAGGCATTTGGAGAATAAGAGTAAGCTCTCATGCTCTGAGGCCAGTTACTGTACATTACAGGTTGGTAGAAAATGCCTACTTTAAGTGTTTTCATGAAGTGTATTTCACTCCCAAACAAATTTGTATTTGACATCTTTCATTCTGTCTTTGTAAACTGCATCAAAGTGTTCTGCCTCTGCCTCTGTTAGCTGGTTTTTCCAGTCCCCAGCAATTCCTGAAACACAGCATGCAAAAGAAGTCACAAGTCAGTCAAAGAAATTCATATTTAAAAATGTGAGTTAATGATTTGTTTGCTAAACTAACAATGTGTAACCTTTTATTGTATATAGCGTATGTTTGTTAGTATTATATTAATATTCATCAGTGAATTTTGCTCTGTCACATTGAACAGGAGATTTGAGTAGGCCTATATAATGTGTACTTTTTTAAATCTCCACTTCAGCAGGCACGGCATGTCAGAGTGGGCTTTAGTAAGATATTCTTGTTTTTAGGAAATGAGCTTCTTTTCTGTCAGAATTCACTTCACTGTTTTTCAAAATGACAAATGAATCAGCCTCACAGCAAGAATTCTAAATGTCTCCAGTCATTTCAGCAAAGGTAAGGGGGACCGCAAGCCGAGCTACAAGACCAAAGTTCAACTGCTGACAAAAATTCAACATCTGATCATGCGTCATAGAGTAAAAACTCGTTAAGGCTGAGGTAAGAGTTTGATGTGGCACTAGGGGAATAAACAAAGAGTTAAAAGCCAAATTCTTTTAGACATAACTAATTTAGAGTTGGAGTGACCCCATACTGAAACTGACCTTTCCTGAGAAACTCTGACTTTGTCTGGTCCATGATTTCACTCGGAACCAGAGAGTAGTTTGACATTTTGTTGTGCTTCATGTTCTTGAACAAACATTGTTCTGCTATCTTCTCTACCGCCTCAGCGTCCAACGATTTCTCCAAGAACTGAGCGATTCTGGTCACAGAGTCCTTCAGGTCCTGCAGCGGAGAGAAACATTTCCTGCATTGAATGTCACAGACGTGGACGTGTTTTCTTTCACATCAGATGTTAAAAATGATTGTTAAGTCTTACCATGATCAGCTCTTCATATGCGATGTACATAATGTGCTCTTTGTCGTCAGCATTCAGCCAGCTCTTCACATGATCGAACCATGAGCCGAACATGACTAGAAGGAAAAGAAAGTGTTCAGTCATCATCAGTAAATGATATCTTTCATCAACAATCACTGTCATTTATTTCCATCAAAGTTAGCAGTCTTTGCACAACACTACTGTCTAACACCGTGTCCTAACAGTAAGCATTGGATATCATGTTGCGTCACTCATGATCGCACGCTCGCTGTCCACACAGCATCCGTTAAATATTTCATTCTCTGCTCTTAAAATGTCAATTTCCCCTTGCAAAGAGTACTACTTCTAGTGCTTTTCTATTGAAGGTGGACAAACAGAAGTGAGGTGCTTTGTATTGACGAGTTGTTGACTCAAATCACAGCACTCTGAAAACTGAAAAAAAAAACATTTTCTTTGGTGTTGTTGACAAAAGTCAAAGAACAACATTTCAATCACGGATAAGGATATAATTAATACACTTTAAGCTCCACTTAGTACAACAAGCAAGCTGTGTCCAGTGAGAAAAGCTAATGCCAGCCCCCTTTCTCGTCCGTCTACACAAGCGACAGAGGGGAAAATAGAAACAGGGCGTTGGAGAAGAAACAGATAGGGCAGATAGGACACTCGGATAGTAAAAAATAGAATTAAGCTGATTTTGTCACTGACGCTCGCTCGCTCCCAGGCTGTTACGACAGGCTGTAAAGACCATTCTTGTATTTTAAAACTGGGCGATACTTAAACATATTTTTGAATCTTAATGACAAATGGGCAAAAAAAAAAAAAGGTTAGATTTGGAAAATGTGCAGGAACTTGAAGAGTCTGTTTTGCCACTGACGGGCTTGGACGTCTACCTGGCGGTTTCCACAGGATCCGCCTGCACAGAATACTAACTTCCCCCAAGGTTTTGCTCCATCAGTCGACACGTGACCTACCACACTGGGTCAGTTTCTGTAGAGCATGAGCAGCCACGAGCAACTGTACTTTTGGGTGCACAAGATCACAGGAGAACAATGTGTAAACAAGCAGGTGAATTTGTCTTTCCAAGGTAGCTTTGCTATTCATTTGGTGTCCGCCATGTTTTGACATAATGTTGATAAAGTGATGGCATAAAGGATCGAGAGTTTGTATATTGTTCTTTATTTTGAAATTGACCAGATGCTCTGTGCTTTCTCTTGTCTGAATTCCTTTGTTTGTTTATTTGTGTGATTGTGTTACTGTGATGTTTGACATGTAAACTTTGGAACCAACATAATATTTAAAATGACAGAACAGAATAGAATAGAGGACAGAATAGAACGACCCTGAGAGGAAGTCAGACAAGAGACAAGTGACCGGGCCTTTTCAGTCAGGGCCCCTCGACTTTGGAACGACCTCCCTGAGGAGATAAGACTCGCAGATTCCCTCAATTCTTTTAAATCCCTTCTTAAAACATACTTTTACAGACTTGCTTTTATGTGATGTCGTCTTCTTAATGTCTTCTCTTACTGGTTTTACTATTTTTATCTTCTTTTACTTCTTACTGTTCTTTTTTTTATGCTCTTATCTCGTATTTATGCTCATATCTTAATCTCCTCTTGTGTTTTAACTTGGTAATTTCTTATCTTACTTACTTTGTCTATTTATTTTTCGTATTTATAGTTAATTTTTATTTTTATTAATATTATAGTTTTGGGTTTTTTGATCCTTTGACCACTTGTTTTTATTTATTTTACTGCTCTTACCTTCTCATTGCTGTTATCTTTTTATTTATTTTTTTCTCTTAGTTTCTTATATCTTTTTAAATCTTTGGTCCTCTTGGTCTCAGCTCTTGTTTTTGGGTTCTTGTGTTCCTGGGTTCTTATGATGGTTCTTATGATGGTTCTTATGATGGTTCTTATGATGGTCGGGTTATATATGTCTGGTTGTGTATCGTGCACTTTGGGTTCTTTTCTGTTGAATTGTATTTAATTATTTTTGGTATTTTGCATCTGTTATATTCTTACTGTTGTTTTTCTGTGTTTGGTTTAGTTTGCTTTGTTCTTGCTGTTTGTCAAAGCACTTTGTAAACCTGTGTTTTTAAAAGGTGCTATATAAATAAAGTTATTATTATTATTATTACAAAGGCCGGTCAATTTCAAAACAAAATACAATAGAAGGACTCACAATCTAATTTTCCATCGCTTTCTCAACATTACATCAAAACAACAAACGAACAACAAAGCAACCTCAGAAACACAAAACAACATGTTTTTTTTCTCTTTTTTCCCGCGTGATCTTGTAGTTCTCCTGTGATGTATGTACGACTGCTCATGGCTGCACTCCGCTGCGCTCACGTTTCAGAAACAGACCCAGTGGCGCACAGACTGATCTGGAAATTGAGAGTTACTACAAACATCCAGATTCTGCGTAAAAAAAAAAAAAAAAAAAAAAAAGGTGACCAAGAAGACCCATCTTTTCAAGCGGTCTCTGTATGGTTGTCTGGTCTACACCAGGGTTTGCTTGACAGCTTTTACACCAGCGCAGACAAACCGCACTTCTTTTTTTTTAACTGAACCCAACAGTCGGGTTAGGTATGAAAATGCCCAAAATAACATTCTTAGCCTGTCAGTGGCTTAAACAAGAACTTTGAGTAAATGCTTTTCATCTGACGAACTTGATATCCAATATAACTCTGAAACATGAATAAATAAAGCCATGATTTACAAAGACCTGAAGTTCCTGTCAGTTGCTGTGATTTGTTGTGTTATGTGTCAATAAATACTGAACATTTCATGCATGTGAAAATGACATCTACCTTCTCCGTTAAGGAATTTGTGGAGGAACTCGCCCTGTGGGCCCGGCTTCACCAGGAACGATGTTATCCCAAAATAGTGAAAGGAAGATGTGAAAACATCTTTGGGGTTCCTCATGACATAGACGACCTACAGTGACGACAAACATCTATTCATCATATGTTGAGCTTGAAGACTCACACTTCCAGCATGGCGCAGTAGTTTCATTACCTTCATTTAGCAAATAGATTTACATGTTAGGAAAGACTTCTATTTGACATCTACGTTCTTGAACAGACCACATATAAAGAGGAATTAAGGCCTTTGCACGCAGACACCTGGCACACTGAGTCCGCTGCCTTTATTTCTCCATTCATTGCGAAAACATATGAAGTGGAACTAAGGCCTTTGCACGCTTTAGACACACTTTTGTAATCTCTGAAAAACCCTAATAACCAAAGCCACAGGCTCAGCGACAGATTTACCTTTGGCTTCACTTCAAAAAAGGACCGTGGCATCATGTTGTATTGGAAATGTGTGGAAAACATGCGAGGAGATGGCCTCTGTTCAAGGTTAAGGATGCAAGCACGATTCTCCTCCAGCCAGGGAACTCGGTCCCAGTTTGGAAGAGTCTCAACAGAAGCTGGATCCCCTCCACTGCTGATCAGGGGTACAATCTCCTGCATCCAGGTCGTTCCTGAACCAAGGGAAACAGGAGGTTAACTGAGTAGTGTAGAAACACTAAGCACTAATGCACATCGTTTCCTGTGATCTGATATATCTTATTGATTTGTATGCAGCTCTAAATTAAGACCTATTGTAGTAACGTCAACCCTAATTTACTGTGCAATACCCACTTACAGTTTATAACTCATATTGCTGAAACACTAACATAAACCACATATAGAGTAAAAAGGAAATTGTGTATTTGAGGGGGATTTCTCTCCTGTTAAAAGTTTGACATCCAGTTTAAAGTTTGACACTGCCCTCTTCTGTCATCTCTTTGTAATTGATGCTGCTAATTCTGATGCTAACTGTGATTCTTGCCCAGTCTCGATGTCCACCATGCAGCCTCAATATACATATAAACACACACAATTTGAGAAATGAATTGAGCATCTTGTGTCATTCATTATCTAACAATAAACTCCAGGGAATAAAAAGTCCCTTGGTTGAGATGAGGCCTTACGTGCAAAAAGAGTAAGAAGTGACCTCCTGATACTTAGTAATAGTAATTAATTACAAGTGTATTCATTTAGTAAACCTTAAAAACTCAAAGTGTACCACATTATAAAAGCTTCAATGAGAGCTGGGAAATGAACAGATCTCATGTGATAACTTTAGAGATGGGAACTGTGGTTTTCTTAGCTGAGGGATTGCAAATGAAATAGATTTGAAATGACAATAAAATTATTTTTATCTAACATACAATATATATATATACATATATATAGATACATGACTAAGGGCCCTTTTTAATTTAGACAAGGTCCCAGTTTGTTGATGCTTTTATGCAGCAGTTGTGCCATATTACTGCTGGACTCATCATTGAAGGATGGAAGGAAGGAAGGAATAATGTCACCACTCTCCTCGACAACCTTTTATTTTTCTTCAAACCATCACACGTTGTTCAACATGAACTAGTTGTTGGATATTGATACGATGTAAGCTAAAGTATGGGGGCGGCTGTGGTTCAGAAGTAGAGTGGGTCATGCTCCATCAGAAAAATCTGGCCACACATTAAAGTGTCCTTGGGCATGACACTGAACCTTAAATTGCTGTTAAGTCCGCATCATGTGTGGATATGAATCCTGAAGTGAGGCCTGGTATTTTGCATAGAAGCATCTGGCCAGTGGTGTGGCCAGAAGTCAGCCAGATACATATCAAGTGACTATCGTATCGGGTATGCGATAGATTTATTAGTTAAAAAAATAAATGTCATCTGAGTTTCATTGTAACTAGATTTTCTCTTTCCCCAGCAGAGGGTGCTATATGGATTACAACAAGCATTACCACTCTCCACAGTGTCAAGTGGGGATCTTTTCTACATTATCGAAGTTTTTCAGAAGTGTTTCATGACTGCCTTTGAGGGATCAACACAATAAATGGCTCTATCTATCAGGGCTGGTTGAAAATATTGATTCATCATTGCAGTTATTTTTTTCCCAATACAAGCCCCTCTCCACTGGGTTCACTGTTGGTGCTGTGAAGTCAGGTCACATTTGTGCACTTTGCATATAGTTTTTGTCCATGCCATCACAGCACTGTTATGTTTTTTACGATTTGCTGCAAATTCAGCTCAGGCACAAATGTGCACTTTAGGTCAAACTGTACTTAAGTGTTTTATTATTTGTTCATTAAAGAATGAAATGATAAAAAAAAAAAATTTGAGCCAGTTTGTTCTAAACCTATACAATATATGCACACATAATTATTTAACAAATATCAGAAGGTACTGTGATGAGTTATCTGAAATCAAACTGAATTGTGAGATTGTGGATAATACCCAGATCTGGTATCTATAAAGATTGAAGATAAAGCTAAGAAAGATATTGGCCAATATATCGGTATCACATTTTTTCTCTCCCTAATATCGATATCGGAAAAATTCCATATCTGTCAGGTCTAGTTGGAACACTAGAAGTATATTTAGTTATAGGCTAAAGGCGTTATATTAAAAGGGGACAAATTATGAAAAATCCACTTTTACAGTGTTTTTGAGCTTATGTTTGGGGACCCACAAAATGTGAAATAAATCCATCCAGTCCTTTGTTTGTGTTCTGCATAAGTCTTACAACACAGAGAAAAATGCTCTGTTTCAAATTTCCTCCCCTCCCCTGGTATCTCCACCCATGGACTCCACCCTTTATTCTCGTGAAGGAGTGATGTGTACCAGGAAAACTCAGGGGTGTTCATTGCATTTAAAGAGACACACACACACCAAAAAAAGGAGCGCTCCGCTGGTTAGTCAGCTGGTTAATACAGGGTCACAAACCTCCTCTGGTGCTTGATATATTTTGACCAAAGCACAGCACAGATGTTTCATTTAGACCACAGAGGACTGTTTAAAGAGGTGGAGAAGGAGTATAATATGTCCTATTTAAGTGCAGTGTAATTTTGTTCATTAGAGCTTAAACAGTTGTAGCTCTGTCATTGCAGATCTACAGATTAATTTAGCTCATGCACAGCATACATCTGGCCCACCTAACTTAATAGGTTTGAGACCAAGTAATTTGAGTTTTCTGGTGTATCTTTCATCACTCGAAGTACACTGATTTACACAAGTCTATCATATTTATGATAAATACAATCTTATGTCATGGTGGTAACAAAGCCAGTACTAACTATACAAGCTATCAAAACAACATCAAAGTTGTACTGGCTGTCTAATTCAATATTTTTAGACGACATTCAGATCTGGTAAAGTTTCTTAGCACTGAGTATTCCTTCAAACTGAACTGCATCCCAGGAGTAACTCCAGCCTCACGTCAAACATAGAAGAACTTGTTTTTAGTCTTTTGTGTTTTGGTGAGCTATAAAGATTTCCCCACTTGGACCTAATAAAAATACAAGACTTAAATCTACATTCGGTTAAAGTAAAGGTCCTCGGGGATTAAATAGGTGATCTCTCATCTAAGAAACATTGATCCACAGTTTAATATAAACACGTAGGCATTGTAAAAGTAGGTCAGCCTTTAAGCTCCAGGTGCATTACTCAACGTCTCCACGCCAAACTCGCCGGATACTTTTGTAAATCAGCTACTTTGTCTTTCTCAGATGTGTTAGTTCTGACAACCTGAGTGAACGACCACAGCAAGTGTGAAATGTTTACGTGACACTTGAAACTCAAACGAGTTGAATATGACACTTTGTTTATTTTCTTATGACAAACAAGGGTAACCTGTAGACGACTTAAAAGTACGAAACTCGGTCTAAAATTCCTCGACACATTATGACAGCTTCGTGTTTTATAACAGCAGACATTAGGCACGGTGGCAACCTGAGCTACTCACCTGACTTGGGATACGTTACAATGAGAATATCATCAGGGCGAAAAGTGAAGTCCTCGTAGTATTTGAGGCTCTCTTGGGGGTGCAGAAGTGAGGGCAGATAGACCCCCTTGTACAGGGTGTACAACTCTGCCTCACTCATTGTTCGAGGAAGAAAATTCTAAGACTGTCTGCTGTTGTAGGAGGGTAGCCAAAGTTTCATGCTGCGTTCACGCTCTCCTCGGACTGTCCCTTTCTCCGAGTTGGTTTTTAAGTGTTTCGACTTTGTGTTGGCGAGCTCTAGTTTATTTACAGTCTATGGTTGTAACGTGGATACAACGTAGGCGATAGAAAATAACGTGTTTTTTTTTTTTTAAAGAAAAGGATCTATGTCACTGGATCGTGGACAACAAATGATGATTAAGTAGCCTATTTTATCTTATTAAGCCTACAATATCGCTAAGACGTTAATCCACGTGAGAACTAGGCTATATAATTACATTTAGATTATTAACATAACGTTTTAGTCTCCTTGCTTTAGGGTAATATCATGTTAAGACTTGTATCCATGTTTTTTCCGACTCTCCGATTTGATGTTCCAATTTAAGGAAACCCAATCCTGATTTTTCACAGTCGAAGAGCGACTTTTCCCCTCCCTCCCTCCCTCCCTGGCGCTCTCTCTCTCTCTCTCTCTCCATGGCGCTCTCTCTCTCTCTCTCTCTCTCTCTCTCTCGTATTAAAATGGAATGTGCATAGCAGTGCAATAATTGGACTTTTAAGAAAATGTTCCTATATGAAGTAAAATAGTTTTATGCCTTTGTGCTCCATAAGTTATGTGTTTATGTGTTCTATATGTCCAATAATCCTCCATAAGTTTTCTTTAGCCTTAATATACTGTGTGCGTTTTCTGTGATGTTTTAAAGTTTCAAGTGTGTAAATCTAATTGGAAGTCTTGTGTTAGGCTAATAGAGTCAAATGTAAAACAAAAAAAACAATCACTTTAAATTGAAGACTGTGTTGTTTTGTGTTGCAGCCAATGCACTAAGTGGAGGTGGAGGCAAGGGAGTGCACTTTAAAAGCACCTTGGATAAATTGGTTTTTAAACCTAAGTAAGTGGGAGTAAGTAACTTTTGCAGGAGGACGATTTATTCTCAGCCATTTAAAAAAAAAAACATCTTTGTGTATGTCTGAAGAAATAAAAAACCTTTCACCAGACAATTTCTGTAGACAAGAGAGAATAGTTTTGAGTCAAAACAGTTATTCCCGAGTTAATACAAATACACAAATAGAGGATTAAAATGTATTTATTACTGCAACATCAAACAGACATGAGCTAATACAACGAGCAGTGAAAGGAAAATCAAAAGTGAACCTGATAGCTTAAAGAAAAACATGTTGGTATCGCTGTGACTGTGAACCTGCGATAATAAGAGCTCATGAAAAGATCTGGTTATGGATGAATGACATTAAATAAATGTGACAATATTCAATTCAAAACTGCTTTTATCAACAACATTCATCCCGTATCCCATCAGTTTATGCAAAGATTGGCAAACAAATGACACATCAGTTAGTTATTGTTGTTTTTGCACAGACAAATGTTGAATGGCCGTGTTGCAGTGATCTCATGTTAACAGCAGACTAGTATATCTAATGAACTTTACAATGGGGTCATGCTGAGATAGTGTTATTAGAAGTAAAAAGGGGAACCAGTCTGTAGCAGGCGAGTTGACGTTCAGGTAACAGCACCTTCTTGTTTGTCCAGGTCTCTCACGTGCTGAGATTTCCTTCAAATGATGTTCAAGCTGCCCCTCACCTGTAGTCCTTCTAGCATCGACTTTCAGTGTGACTATATGGAAGACTTTGTGATTGGTGGATGTCAAGCGATGGATAAGTATCCTTCTGCATCTGGTTTAAGAGTTCTATCATCCTGCTCAACATGAAGGCTTGAATAGAGCCAGGCTCGGTCCAGAAAGCAACTGACAGCAGAGATGACTGAATGTCAACGAGATCTTCTACTCTTCCTCAAGTGGTGCATTTAATGTCTCTGTGAAAAGACGCTGTCAGCAATCAGCCTTTATAGCCTTAGACATCCATTCAGATCTGGCCACCAGTAACCTCAGTCTATCACCTGATGACTGGATCAGCTCCTTTCCACTGACAGAAACGATAACAACAAACTGTTATCCAAATGAGATGATTTAACATCCGTTGCTCAGATCTACAGGTAAACCTATACTTACCTCTGGTAGTCCATTCCGAGCAGACTGACTCCATAACAGCCAGGATCCGGTCTCCTGGCAGCAGCTTCTCACAGCGGGCTGCAGGAGAGTCTGGGACCACTGCACGGATAAAACGCCTTTCACCCTCATGTTGGTGTCCTGAAAGAGAAGGGCCAAAGTTAGTGCGCGACTACACGATTCAAATTGTCACCCTCACTTGTCTGCACTAAAATTACTAGCTGGTTAAACAAATTATTGTAAGATGGAGATGAGATTTATTTTGTGAAACTTTATTTTATAGATCTTTATTTTTCTCAGGTGAGATGATATACATTATTTAATTTAATGCTAATCCATTTATATTACATTTTGTACTTTGCAAGAGTATCTGTTTGATATGATGCACTTTGTCTTTAAGGTTACTCATGGTTACGGTTGGAGGAGTGATATTGCTTAAAGACAAGTAATGTGTTGCTGTTGTTGTTCCCGTGCTTTTGCTTACCCACACCCGAAGATATATTTAATCAAGTATGTTTAGTGTTATAGTTAACGGAAAGACAACCCAGGATTAAATCAACATCATCCAAGAAGTGCCGTTACATTATTAACATTTTTACATGTTGGCCCTCAATCCCTGTCAAGTGTTGTGTCTCAGCTGTAACACATCCTCTTGCCACTAGATGGGGCTGTCGACCCAGTTTATGGGCCGTCTCTCCTCCGCTCCACTGCCTAAATGTCACGAACAGATGGCGTCTCATAGGAGCAGCATTTAGCAATATTTTGATGAAGAAAATTGAGATAAAGCTGTAAGTAGGCTGTGCTAGGTTAAACTGGCATACTGACCAGAGGAATAGTAACCACATTAATGCTGCATTCAGGTGCTGCTCGAGTGTGGTCCAAGTTTCCGAGTTTGGAAGTCGTTCTTCCGACTTCAGTGTGTTCAAGTGATTTCAGTTCGGAAAGTCGAAATGTTGTAACAACAGCAAAAAAACAGCGTTGATGCTACGAAGAAGAAGATCAGTGAAATGTCACTGTTAAAAGTTATATTTGAGCAAAAAGTTGATGTGCAATAACTGAATTAATAAAACAATTGTTAACATTAACAAAACATATTTTGCCCCCCATGTAATGACGATTCTGACGTCAAGTCGGGAAGTCGGGCACCTAATTCTTTTCCCAGTTTCCGAGTTGTTGTTCCGACTTGAGCATGAATGCAGCAGAAGCACAGGCATGATGTGCCATGGGTTTATTTTATAGGGGGCGCTACAACTATAAAATGAAGGATTTCTCTGGCTTTGATAACCGTTGGAAATATTTGAGCTAATTTAAGTACTCAACAACAAAATATATAAAACATTTTTAGGATTAATCCATTTTTAATGAGGTATATTTAAGTGTAAACAATTTAGATATTAAACCTTTAGCTATTTTTGTACATTACTTTTTAACGACTATCGCCACCATAACCAGGTCGGTGTTGATGCCAAAACAGCTTTGTTTAATTTTCCACAGCAAAGTTCCACAGTGAGTGAAAGTAGGACGATGCATTTCCACAGGAAACACAAAGCATACATGTAAGAAATCCCCAAAGAGATCATTTGTACCCCTTCGTCCACAGGGGTCAGCGAGATTGACGCGTAATAAAAATTCCTAACGGGAGCTTAACGTAAACAGTTTTTCATTTAATGTTAGCGCATGTCTTTCACTCACCCTTGTGTCAATCAGAGCAAGACCAACTCCACAGGCACCTCGCTCCAGCTCCAAACTAAAAAGCTCATAGTCTTTGTCATCATAATGGTCCTTGGGCCTCTTCCTCCGCCTGATTCTCCTCTTCCTCTTTAAGCTTAACAAATCTCTTCAAACTGGGGTACTCTGATTTCAAAGAGTCTCCTTTCAGTGCAGACAGACATTCAAACACTAATCCACCTGAGGAGAAAAACAAGGGACTTGATGAGTTTTCTTGTACTACAGACGAACAGTAGGCTGGAGATTTCTCTCAGTACTATACCTTTCTCATGTGCATCCACACCGGACGACCAGGGGAGGGCCTCACTCTCACCCCTCACCCATTTATCTGCCTTCACCAAATCGATAGGATGAATGATGTGGGGGTGTTAGGTGGGGTGGGGAGACAGGTCGGGTCCAGAGCTGACCTCCTCGTTGAACCCGTGTCGTCTCTCTGCTCTGCATCTCCAGATTTCTGAGCTTATGGGACAAAAGGAGGGCACCGCAGGAGCCGATCTCATTAAAGTACTGAGCGGGGGAGGAGAGTGTGGTGATGGGGGTGTTGAGGTAAGGGAGCAGAGGGAGCAGAGGGAATTGGAGTTCATGGACAGTAGACAGAGATGACACCATTTCAGGAGCCGATTTGTCCAAGGATTCCTGACTGGCTGCTGGTCGGATATCCATCTTAATCAGTTTGACCTCGCTGGGATTGGTACCAACCTGGAGGACAGAAAGCATGAAACATTTAGGCTGAATAAAAAATGTTTACATCTATTCTATAAGACAGATCCATGGGAAAGTAATGCGCATTGTCTTACTTGCAGTGAACAAACTGCCATTGCACAACCAGGTGATCTAATTGTGAATGACCACCACTGATAGGCTATTTTTCCAACGTCACTTCAGCAGTGACGTTGGAAAAATAGCCTATCAGTGGTGGTCTTGACCGCCCACCCATCGGAGACTGAGACAAGACCGATTTAAAATGCTTTCAATATCCCAGATGAGACCAAGACCTTAAAAAAGTGGTCTCGAGACCAGTCTGAAGACCAAGACCAATTTCAAGTACTACAACACTTTTATAGTTTACTACAAAGTGAGTGATTTCAGACACAGCCAATGAAAGTTCTTTTAAAAAGGAAGGCTAAGTTCCATCAGGTTTTAAAGAGCCCATATTCTGCCCTTTTTGGGGTTCGTATATTTAATCTATGTATCTACTTTTGTACGTTCACAATGGCTAAAGTTTGAAAAAAGTGTCTGTTTTCATGTACTGCTCCTCCTTG